GGCAAGAGTTCAAACTATACGTTTATTTCCTTGCCAGGCGGAGACAATGCATCAATATTTATGGAATTATGTAATCTTCTTGGAATCTGAAAAAACGCCAAGGAACTGTTTTTCTCTCCTCAATTTGAAATGTCTTTGCTCTTTTCTTCTTGGCCAAAACAATGACAGTAATTATATATTAGAAAATTCAGTTGCTGACCAAATTTTGGATTTTTGGAACAACGCAGAAATTCTGTACAATAGAGGAAAGCTGCAGGGACTAATACAATCAATTATATCTTTATACATTCATAACCTAGAATTGACTAAAATGGCTTCAACGAAAACTTCAAAACATTTTTTTCTTTAACAGAGAACTTCACAGCTGTGTGGAACTTGCAGGCAGACTGAACTCAGAATTGCAACTCAGAGAATAGATGTCTATTTTCAGTCAGGCAGGGATGGTTACATAATTTTTGAGATTTCATGTTGTATAAACTGGGCTGTTTATCTTGTTTGTTAAGACCTCAGAAGAATATACATTTGTTAATTTTTTAAAAAATCCATAATAAACTGTATGGAGCTCAAATATTTTTGTGTTTTTCATGTTATTCTATAAACTGAAAACATAATTACGAAATTCATTTTTATGTATTTTTTTTTCACTTTGCAGCCCATTGTATTTTGTTTAGACCAGTTGTTAAGGCTGTGGATCATCTGTCTAACAGCCTATTGCACTAAAATGAGGTCAGTGACTCAGCTAAGTGCAATGGTTTGTAAGCTGTAAAAGCAGGTATATCATGTCAAAGCTGACATAGGACTCATCCTAAATCTTATGGGAAAACTCAGCTTTGCTGTGAAGCCTCATTAATTTCAGTGGAGAAAGACACACTGTTCTTGAAGTAAGACATGGACCATAGATGTTCTTTACCAATCCTTTTCATAAAAGGTGTATGGAATCTGAAATAAACTGACCTGCTAACAAATAGCCTGAGACTTCAAACTGGAGAAGAGCAAAAAAGCGGTTTGGATGGGAAGACATCTGACCACTTAACAATTGTTCTCAAATAGTCAAAATGCTACAGATCCATTCTTTTTAGTCTAAGCCTGCTTCACATTAAAGTTATAGGAATGCCAAAAAAATCAGAACCATAAATGTTGAAATATGTGAACAGCTTATTTTCATCTATTGCACCCTGCTGCTTTTCTACCAGCTCTCTGCCCAGACTGAATTTTTATCATTGAGAAATATTTTATAATAACCAGCAGACTCTTTAAGTATATAAACATGACTGCTCTTGCTTTAATACTGGAAATTTTGAAATACACCCAGTAGTAACTAGATCAGCATGGCCAGTGTTGTAAGGCATTTTATATAGAACTTTGGAAAAAAATATGGAATCACTTGCTACAAGCATACAGTTGGCCAGATTTTTTTTTTTTAATTCTTTGTAGTCAATGAGTATTAAAAAAAATAAAACAAACAAACAAAAAACCCCCACAAACAAAAAATTACGCTACATTGCACTGGCTTGGCAAGAAAACAGAGAGGACATGTTGCATCTTGCAATCTGGACTGCAAATAGCTCTGACAGGAAAGGGTAGAGGAAGTAAATTTGGCAATGTGATGCATGGATCTCAAATAAGCACAGTAAAAGGTGTTGAGGTATTTTTAAATAGTACCAGATTAAACATCAGGTCAAGCTGTTAAATTTAGGACCTTGAATTGTCTTGGTATCCCAAAGATCCCATTATGGCTTTTTGGGAAGCTAGTCGATGAAAGTGCCTGGTGCCTCATGCCTGGGTGGCAGGAGGGGAGGCTGGGGCGCAGCCAAAGACATCCCACCAGGCCTGCTCCGTCTCTCCCAGTCCTGCATCAGGAGGCTTCAGACACCAGGAGCCTGGAGGGCTTTCATGTGTCTGTGGACTGTGTGTGCCAAGGAAAGCCCTCTGGAGCAGGAACCCATGTGCTCCATGCATGAAGGCCCTTGCCAGTCCTCTGCCCGCTCCCGAAAGTTGGCTGGAGGGAGCCAGCTGCTGTGCAGGCCCCTGCAGCCACACGGGGCTATTTTTATTTGTGTTTTGTGGAAGTGACCTAGGTTACCACCATTGCCTGACCTTCCGGGTTGTTTTTTTGGTTTGGTTTGGTTTGGTTTGGTTTGTTGTTTGGTTTTTTTTTTGTCCCAATGCTACTATTCATGTTCTCTTGAATATGTGCCATTTCCAAAATAGAGCATTGCAAACATTTCTGCTAATCCCCAGGGAAGTGAGGAAGATGCTCCTGTGGAGGTGAGAGGGAGAACTCCCTTCCCCTGGAAGACCCCGCTGCAGGCAGGCTGGAGCTGACCGAGGCCTGTAGCCCCAGGGACTGTGGGCTCCTTGGGACCCCCAGGATTCCCAGAGGCCAGTTGCTCCTGTCCCCCTCCGCCTCACCAGCCAGGCAGAGGGAGCAGCAGGGGCCTGGCTGGCACCCGGGGCTGCCAAGGCCCGATGCAGCAGGTGTGGGCTGCGAGGCAGCACGGGGCTGGTGTGAGCCCCGCGAGAGCTGTCCTTGGCGCAGTGCCTGCAGGGGAGAGTGAAGTCCTTGCTGGACGCTCGAGACTTTGCTTCTTAAGGTTTGTTTGAAGCAGAGTGCTTAAGGAGTGGCAGTGCAGGAGGCTTCACTTTTGAGAAAAAAATGTGTTTTCTTAGCATGAAAAAAATGTGGTAACTGTTAGTGAGGAGGGGTGCACACAGAGTGCTGACAAGTCCAAGGCGGGACCCTCATGCCAGGCAGTGAGCACCCTCAGCCACACCAGGAGGGATGGGAGAGAAACAAGCCACAATAGCCAGCTAAAACTGGACAGGGATATGTCCTGAGCTGCAGCCCCTCTGTGCTCCTCATGTGTCCTCAGCTCACCCTGCAGCACTGGCCCTTGCACACATGTGATGGAAAATTGGATTTGCTTGAAATATAAAGCAAGAAATGTCTCTCTCTCCTGATTTTCTTCTGCAATGTAAGTGAAATGGAAAGCTGGAAGTATCTGGTTGGACGGCTGGGAGAAGGGAGAGAGAGCACAGGAGGGAGGCCAGGACAAGGGATGGATTTTGGAACAGGGAGGAAGGGAGTGAGGGAAGGAAATGGAGAGGAAGGGCTGCCAGCAGCTGCTGGCGCTGCAGGAGAGCAGGAAAGAGAGGAGATAAGAGGCGATGAAGGAGGGGCAAAGGAATAAGGGAAAAGACTAGTGGGTGATGTGTCAGGGAAAGGCGATTTCTCACGCTTTAATGCTGTGCTTGCCACCCAGTTAGTGTTTTAAAAACACTGGGATGCTGGGAAGGAAAACTGACAGGTTACCTAACACAGTTCCGGTGACTTCACGCTGTGGTATTTGTGCTTCTTCTAGCTAGCATGTGATCAACCTTTACTGGAGTATCCCAGTGTCTAAAGTAGTTTTGGGTTGCACATTTAGCAAATATACATGGAGGACTCTGCCAGTGTTGTGCCAAGATATTTTTCAGGGTTCTTTTATCAGCAATGTTAACCCTTTCCATGGAGAATATCTGCTCTGGAGCAAAAGCAGATGTAATGTTATAGTCCAAGGGCTCTGAAACGGTTCATGCACCTCACTGCTGCAGAGAAGTTTACACTTCAGCCAAGTGTAATGTAAAACTGCATCCTGTAATTGGGGAACAGACTGCTGAGAAGAGTGACTTTATCACTAGATCTCAGGCCTATAAACTACTGGACACATCTAAAATGACATTTGTTTATATCAAAGCATCTGTCTCTTTTCAGTATGGTCTCCTGTGCAAAATAATGGTGACGCCTTATTTGTGTAGCACTTCCTATCCCCAGTGATAACCTTACTAAAATTAGAAGTTATGGAATAGCTTAGTTTTTAAAGGACACACTGCTAATTATTCATTACTAAAATTCATTAACTTGACAAGAACTAGGTTATTGTCCTGAACTAAATTCCTGAAATGCTGGTATGTTTCAATCCTAAAGACATTATTTTTTTCAGCAACAGAAATTCTTGTATGTTAATGGAGTTTTTATTGCTAAAGAACAGCTAGGCTATTCCAGATATGAGTGAACTGTTTCCCACATAGAACATCGTATTTTTTATGCCTTATATAAGATATCCCCCTTTCCCAAAGACCTGATGACAGTGGCCCTGTAGTTCACTCAGTTTAGAACTTTATGTCAAGCTCACTACTACCTGTGTGTGTTTGGGGTGGCTCTATTCCGTTTATTCTTGCAAGCAGCTCATATCCCAGGCTATTTTACAGAGGGTTTTGTGTAGGTGCAGTTTTCCCCAGGTGCTGTGAGGGAAGATGGTGAGTGGTAGACAGCCCAAAAGTTCTTTAGGATTCATTGGAGACTTTATACACCTTTCCACTTGCTCCTACATACAAGTCTCTCTGCCAGTCCTCCTGGCTTGGATCATTTTGGACTAATAAGGCAATAAGGTACTGACAAGGTTACATTTAATTTTCTGGAAACACAGCAATCTATGGTACTGTTTAGGATTCCTCAGCATGCTTTTGCCTCAGCACTCTTATTTTTGCTGATTATGCTGCACAGCAAAACTCAGATCCCTGCACTTACCATCTGCATAGGACCACATTCCTTGGAACAGTTAACATGGGACCCATCTCTGCTAGGTGACCCACAGATCAGCCTGAAGCCACAGAGATACCTTGCAAGTACTCTTACTGGCTCACCAGAGCAGACCAGGTTTCAGCCAAAGGTGTTTCCATGAAGGGAAGACCATGGTTTAAAGATCCTCCATTGCTACCCTGAGCTTTCAAACCCTCGGAATATCAATCCACAATGAAGGCAGAAAAAATTGAGAGGCAGATAAAATGGAGTTTGTGGTTAAAAATTCCTGATACAAAGAGAATTCTTAAATCATACCAGAAATATTTCCTGGATTGTCACAGCAAGTTACTAGGATTTTTTTGTGAAAAATAACTATATATTATACGGTTGAGTGTCCTTTCTTACAACTGCTGTCTTTCCTTTGTGTTTGCTATAGATCGATGACTCCATGCTCAAGTACTTTGGAAGCCACACGAGAAGAGCAATTCTGTTCGCACCTCCTGCCCACCGGGAAACTGACCTTCAGCTCTGTCAGCGCATCCTGGCAAAACACGGATATACAGTCACAGTCCTTCGAAACAGGAGACTGATGGAAGATCCCAGGCATGCGGGCCCTTATCACAGTAAGATTAATTTGACTTAGTTAATTCATTAATAACTAAATATTAGCTATTGATCCACAGAGGTAAAGCTTCTAAACTCTGCATGCAAGTAAAGATACAAGCCAAATTCTAGCCCTTCCAGTTATGCAGGTACTTTTCCACAATTAGATAATCCTTTCATTAGGTATTTCCTTCTATAAAAAAAAAAGCAGCAGTGTGACTCATTATAGTCTTGACAAGCAAATCAAATCAGTTTGGTTCCTGATGACTTCTCATACCAACTTCATCAACACAATCACAGTGTGATTTTCAGTAGAGCATTCCATAATGAAACAAATACCTGCTACATTTGGTTCTCTCTCATTTTCTCTCTTAAGGAAAAGCTATATGCATGAAGGTATGCTCTTTCCTCCAGTAACGTTTTGATTGCTCTGTGAGCTTATTAAAGAATATGACACAGAAAACATGCATTTTGCACTTGCAGCAGAAGCTGGGGTAAATTACTGCTGGTTCTTAGTCCCTGTTGAAATCTGATCCACAGTAAGAGCAGGCTACCGGAGAAGCTTGATCTGTTGCAGAAGGAACTGTAGCTTTGCGGTGTAAAGTTATACTGTGCCTGATAGAAGAACTTTAGCAACTAGTTATATACGTTGACCATGTTTAAGTGCTCTTGGACACCATAGAAGTATGCACTGAAACTGGGAACTCAATTTGCTCTTCTATTGGAAATCAATTTTGGATCTGGAAGGCCACCATTCTGTTAGTAGAAAGATTGTGTGGTGGTTATTTCTCATGGTGAAGAGAGTGCTCCTTGCATTATCAGGCTTGCAATACATTCCTGGGGTTAACATAGAGCTCAGTTTTGCTTTATGCTTGGAATAATCAGAGTAGTTTCATAGATAAAATGCATAATTCTTCAGCATGCTGGAGATGGCTCAAAATTACACCTCTAATTTTAAGTTCCTCTAATAAACTTTTTTGAAAATAAGGTACATGTAGTTTTCTAGGCAGGCTGTACTGAAAAACAGTAATTGTCTTAACTTTGGTATTTTATTTTAATCTGCTTTTATAGGTATGCAAAATTCAGTTCTGACTTAGAAAAAAAATTACTGTGCTAGATTGTGCTACCATGATTATGCTACTAGATTATGCTACTCAGGTTCAGGTTCTCAAATAACAGGCTTTAATTTCCAAACACTGCTTTTGCAGAGATTAATTTAACTGTGGGTATTTATACTTTACAGGTTAGGACCAGTACTTCCTATAGTATTTTTCCAGTAATGAAAAAAAATAATAAAAAGGGTTTAGGTATTTTCCAGGAACATCCTACATCTTCCAGCAGATGTTAAAGCATGTAAAAAAGTCACATACTTGCCAATTCAAGCTAAAGAGTAAAACTCTACTTATTCCATTTCATGGCAACATAAGTCTGCTTTTAACTATTCCCTGTGTTATGCAAATGCATAGCTTTAAAGTTATATTTTAAAAACAAGAGGTAAAAGAACATGTCTGCATACCAAACCAATGATCTTTTTTTAGAACGGAACAAGCTACACTCAAAGTTCTTTTTCTTTGCCAGCAGATTATGAGGTTTACTGTTCTGGATGGAATATTACGTCTTATTTTGTAGAAGGGTATTTTGAATTATGTTTTGTCATAATATTTGCTTAATAGGAGTGTTATGAATAACTAAAAAATATATTACTTGTTGCCTTTATTAAAAATGTTTATGAAATATACTGAGAAACATCATGAACATTGTGAAAAATCTGTAAAAAGAGTAATTCCTTCTTACTTGGTCTTTTTTAGCACCTCTATCCAGTGGTTTTGTGCTATTATTTTTGCACAGCCTTACTTGTGTATCTTTCAAAGTTCACTCTAATTTTGAAAGTTTTTTTTTGTTTAGAATGGCTGAGAGCCAAGAGTCTAGCTGAAGTCATATATGGAAAAAAATTCACCACAAAAACATTCCTAAGTTTTTTGTGCTGGCCCACTATTAATTTTGGGACCAGTTCTGCTCCCATTTGAAACCCAAATGTGACAGCTCTGCACTCTGATCTCCCAGAGAAATCATTCACACCTGGGCTGCAGCACTATGTTGAGTTCATTACCATCAGAAAGAAACATCAGAAGAGTAGTTTTCTTCAGTGGAAAGTTTAAACTTCTTACAGGCCAGCCAAAACAATTTCAGTTTTGGTAACTGGAAAATAGTTGGCTAAAAGGAAGCAGATACCCTTTTTTTCAGGCAAAGGGACTGTGGTTTATGGGTTTCCTATGAAAAATCTATACAGATGCTTTCTGAAGTAAAATATAAATTATTCAAACCCCTGATTTTTCAATGAAAAATAGCTCTGTCAGTAAATTCTCAAGCAGCCTCGGTTAAAGAAAAAGTAGCTGTGCTTTAACCATTCCTTAGCAATTAAACTCACATGGAGGTATAAGCTCATGGACTGATGGTATCTGTGCCTGTTCTGAGATCTTTGAATCCTCCTTTTGTGGCAGCCCTAAATGAACCAGTTTTCCTGTAAAGTTTAACACATCTGTAAACTACATCCAGCTCAGGAATCTTCAGCACAAGAAAGACATGGACCTGTTGGAGTGGGTCTAGAGGAGGGCCTCAAAAATGATGAGAGGGATGGAACAGCTCTCCTGTGAAGATAGGCTGCAAAATTGTACTATCCTGTATTTTGCTAGTAACGCAGTAGCACCTCCCTATCTCCAACCTAGCAGCACACTAGGAAATCAAAGAATCATAGATCATAGTTTCAGTTGAAAGGGACCTTTAAAGATCACCTAGTCCAACTCCCTTGCAGTGAGCAGGGACCTCTTGAATTAGATCAAGTTGCTCAGAGCCTTGTCCAACTTGACAATGTTTCCAGGCTTGGGGCTTCTACCATCTTTCTGGGCTGGGATTGCCACCTTGGGCATGCAGCTGCTCCTGGGCTAGGTGTATTTCAGCATGGTCATTATCTCCAGTATCTGTTGGAAGTCCGTCGTGAAACAAGCAGTTTAAATTAAGTTGAATAACAGCTGCTGAGAAAGATTAAAGTTGTATGGGCCAGCACATCAATAAATGTTACACTTGCTTTGTTTGCCAGCTAGGCAGAAGCAGGTGTGACTGGTGTGTTGTTACTTCATTCCTCCTCCTCTTCTTACAAGGTAGAATCTGCTTGCAGAAATATAGCCTCTGGGATGTGTTCAGCCTTTGCTGCAGAAGTGGGTTTGAAACCGGTGCCACAGATTCATGGAAAATAAGAAAACAATCAGGATGAGTGAGAAAGCCCAACACCTCTGGACTTTCTCCTGGGAGCATTTCTGTTCTGAGCCACACAAACCACAGACCTGTGCTGCTCTATCGGAAGTGAGTGGGAGGAGCTGCTTGGCTTCAAAGCACCCGTAGGTCCTCACAGAGTGGCTGGTTTGGGTTTTTTGTTGTTTTGGTTTTGTTTTCTTGGTTTTTGTTGGGGTTTTTTTGTGATTATTGTTCCATTTGAGAAGTATTGTACAGATCTCAGCTTTGGTTGATACTTACCTCTTGGGTCAATACATCTTAATATTTACTTCCACTGAAATCAATATCAACTTCATGTCCAATTCATTCACCTGATATTCTTAGGAGGAAGTTATATAATATATATGTCCTAAAATTTACATATATCACAAAGAATATTAGATCTGAAGTAATTTCCTCTTTACTGACTTTATCAATATGCATTGGCTTGTGTTTTCTGCCTTTTTAAAAATATGCTGTGTTTAAGTACTTGGCTGCAGAAATAAAGCCGTGGTTCCAGTAACTGTGAGGATGATCTGGCTTTTTGCAGATATGGGTGTGGTGCATGGGTGGAGCTGCTCCAAGAATAGGAAGGGATGAGTGAGACTACAGATCCATGGGAGCAAATCTGAGCAAATCTTCACTCTCCTCTTTATGTGCTGGGGTCAAGAGATTTGTCTGGCATTTAAGGTGGCATCTCATGATATTACTTAGGTATTACATCAAGAAGTTAATAACCTATCATTGTTAAAGCAACATGAAAATATTCAGACTCAGTTAATTTTGCCATAAAATGCTGATCTGAGACTTGTTGGATTGTTATGGCAGATATGGTCTCTGCTTCTTCCCTCATCGGTTCTCAGCAGAGCACTGTTGCTTCCTTGTACCCAGTGGCTGCTCCCTGTAAAAGTTGCTGCTTGGGGAATGTCAAGAAGCTTGAGCCTGCAGGAGCAAGCACAGGTGTTCAGCAGACCTGGAGTGATGCTAGCTGCAGGTTTCTGTCTCTCTTTGAGTGATACATTACTGTGGAAGCAGCTGAGGACAAGTGAAAGAAAATTCTGCTCTGATTATCCCAAAACACCATTTTCCAAGTCAGTCTTTGTTAATTTTTCAGTTTGGTTTGTGTGGTAGCCTTTGGAAAAAATCAGCAAATCTGTGTTTTCCGTGGGAAGAAAATGTCTGTGTCTATTCACTTCTATTTGCAGTGGGACTAGACAGAGAGTATTGCCATACCAGAGTTAGAGATGAAGCAATGAGGATAAAAACCATATGAATCACTGTCAGAAGTAGGATGAAATGCCTGCTACTTGCTGTATATGTTAATGTTATTCCTTTAGCATACCATGTCACCTCTAGTATTCCTTGCTGTTCATACTTCTGAGCAGAGGCTAAATCAGCAAAAGATTCAGCTAAATTGCTGACATCTGGCCAACACCAAAGTAAGAACTTGCAGAACTGCTGCTTCATAAATGCAGCCACTGATAGTTTCCTCAGGGTTGCTAATTAGTCTAGAGAATAAACTAGAGCTGTGGGTTTTGGAGGCCCCCAGGGCCATGTCTGGTGATTGTCTGACATTTACTTTTTATTTTCCAAGATACACTGTATCAGTAGAAGTAGTGAGAATTAGAGGAGGTGGTGGAGACAAGAGGACACAGTGATGTTCCTTCTTCAGTGAGCATGAAGCCTGGTATGACTAGGGGAACAAAGGTATTTGTTAGTGTAAAATATTTCAAAAGTCTGCTGCCAAGGA